GTATAGGAAGTCTTTGTCTCAACTGATAAATGCTATCTATGATAAATCAATGGCCAACATTATATTAAATGGAGAGAAGCTTAAAGCTTTCCCTTTAAAATCAGGAATACGACAGGGGTGTCTGTGATTACTACTCCTGTTTAGTATAGTTCCCAAAATTCTAGTCATCAATCAGGTAAGAGAGAAATAAAATGGACATTTATAGAAAAGGAAGAAAATAAATTATCATTATTTGCAGATAACATGATCCTCTACATGGAAAATCCCAAAACTCCACCAAAAGACTCTTAGAATAACCAAATTCCATAGCATAGAAGGGTACAAAGTCAACACTCAAAAATAGGTAGATTTCTATATACCAACAGTAAACTCACTGACAGAGAAATTAAGGAAACAATATTTATCCCAATAGCATCAAGTAAAATTGCATACTCAGGATTTAACATAACCAAGGAAGCAAAATATTTCTATGATTAAAAACTAAAGTATGCTGAAAAAGGAGACTGAAGAGGATATTGGAAAATGAAGAGGTGTTCCCTGTTCCTGAATAGGCAATGCCCATTAAAATACCAATAGAACTCTTCAGAGAACTAGAGCAAACATTCTAAAATTTGTGTGGAGCCAGAAGCTACCTAGAATGACAAAAGCAACTTTGGGAAACAAGGGAAAGGCAGAAGCCCTCACAACCCCAGACTTCAAGTTATACTACAAAGCTCCTATGATAAGAACGGCATAGTACTGGCAAAAAACAGAATAAAACAAAACAAAACAGAACAGACTTGTGGATCAAAGAAACAGGTTGGTTAGAGGGTGCAGAAACAACTCCAGGCACACTCAGCTACCTTATCTTTGACAAAGGAGCCAAACACGTTGAAGGAAAGATAACCTCTTTAACAAATGGTGCTGGGAAAACTGGCTATACACATGCAGAAAAATGAATCTAGACCCTTGTATGCACTAAAATCAAAATGGATGAAAGAATATTCAACAAACACTCTACTGGAAAACAAAAATGAAACTCTTGAAGACATAAGCAAAGACTTTTGAACAAGACACCAGTTGAACAAGAAATAATGTCAAGAATCAAAAAATGGGATCACATTCAGTTAAAAAAGCTTCTCTACAGCAAAGGAAACCACCAACACAATGAAGAGGCAATCCACAGAAGGAAAAAAAGAATTGCCAGCTATTTATCAAATGACTAATATCTAGACTATATATTGAAGAGAAAAAATTAGACCCCCAAATTTAGAGACTAATCAAAATAATGTATATCTGAAATGAATAGACACTTCTCAGCTGAAGAAGTACAAATGGCTGTTAAATACATGAAAAAAATATTCAACATTACTGGTCATTCAAGAAATGCAAATTAAAACAACACTGAGATTACATCTCACTTCAGAAAGAATAGCTATGTTAAAAAATTAAATAATAACTAATGCTGGAGAGGCTTCAGGGAGCAAGAAACACTTCTTCATTGTTGGTGGGAGTGTAAACTGGTACAACCACTATGGAAATCAACATAGCGATTCTTCAAAAAAACTAAAAATAGAAATTCCATTTGATCCAGCTCTTCCCCCAGTAGGCATCCTCCAGAAAGAGTAAAAGACATTATACAGTTATACATGCATACCCATGTTTATAGCAACACAATTCATCATAGCTAAATCCTGGAAATGGCCTAAATGTCCATCCACAGATGAAAGGATAAAGACAGGGTGGTATATGATGGAGTACTACTCTGCCATAAAGAAAGACAAACTTGAAAATGGATGTATATTGAGACGATAATGTTAATTGAAATAAATAAGACAAACCTAAATATCACATGGTTTCTCTTATATGAGAATCACAGCATACAAATAAGGTGCAAAATAAAGAATAGACATTAGAAAATTGTGAGATGGATCTTTGGCATATGAAAAAGGAACCAAAAGACAGAGGGAAAGGAGATTAATTTTTAAAATGGGGAGACCATGAAGTGCCATGTACACACACCAAATCCCTGCGAGGAATGTGATCGTTATGTATTACACACACACACACACACACACACACACTCTTACTCTACCAACAAATGTATACATACTTCAGGAAATGAAAAATAGTATGTTGGTTGAACAGATAGTGTTGCCCTCATATGGAGGTCCCTAGAAGATGTCGTATATCACAGAAAACCCACTACAGTGCTGGTCCTTAAAGAAGAAATTGAAAATGCATGTGGAGAAATCTCAGTAACCAAGGTCACCCAAAAAGCAGTTCGCTGTACTATAAATGTATGGAAGCCAATGGCCACCATTTTGAGTATTTCTCATAATGGTAGAGACCAAAGTTAACTTACACTAATCTCACGATGGTTCAATAAATTTAGTGTTAAAATATGCAAATTTTTCTTTTCCTGATGGATTAAGGAGTCCAAGAAGTGCACAGAAGAGGAGGAAGGGAAGGGAGGGGTTAATAAAAGGAATGGAGAAATGGCATATGCATGTACCAACTCCCTATGGTGAATATATTAATAATGTATGAAAACCATGTACCAATTTAAAAAATAACACCCACAAAATTTAAAAAAAGAAAATAGAACCAAGCTCTGAGATGCATGTATTGAAGTATTTTCTATCACCAGATTTTTACCTCTGAATACATATGTAAATATTATTTTTCTGTAAATACTTTATTTTCCCCCTCTAGTCTCTATATTTAAAGAAGCACAAATCAAATCTTGTATTTTAAACCTAGAAAAATTTCTGCTTTAGTCAGAAATATCTCTTGTGATATTTATAACAAAGGTGTCTTGAGTGTAAATACAGTTTTAGAATTGTTTTTCAATTTAAAGTTGTCTGAATTTCAAATGTCACAGGGGGGTTACTTTATTTGGCTCATGACTGTTGCCAAATACCTTGCTAAATTCTCAGCGAAAACTACCCTTTCATATAAATGTGTGCTTCCATTTAGAGTAGTCTGGTACAAATATTTTATGGAGATAAAAATAAAAAGTATTTCAAGTACAACAGGTGACCAGAACTTTTGGGGGAATTAATTGTCTAATGTATTTAGGTATTTTAATTTGTGCTCAAATAAAAAGGAAGTGCAGAACAAATCTTATGTATTTCATCCTTTTGTCTTTTAGCAAAAATCCACATTTTTCAAAGCTTAATGTACCAAGAGTCATGTTAGTTTTATAAAGCTGGTGTTATGGGCTAGTATCTCCTTTTAGTGTAGTGCAGTGGTGGTGAGCCTATAGCAAATGTGCCACAGTGGGCTGTTTGTATCATTGAAAGCTCTAAAAGATTCTCTATCACTGGCCTTGAGGATCTTTTATAGGAGTACTGGAAGCTTTAGTAGATGTGTGATGGCACCCAATGAGTTTGGTTTTGTAAAAATTTGTCTAGTATGAATAGCCTCGTTTGGGACTCTATTCCTTTAATGGATAAAGATGGCTTAAATTCTGTGAATGTTGGGTCCAACCAAGGAAGTGCAAAGGCCCTGCATCTGTGAAGTAACACTGGTAAAAACACATCCCATAATTGCTGCAAGAAGCATAGGCTAAGGTATTAGTATGGGCAGAGAACTGTGGGATTCAAGACCATTTCCAAGATAAAAATTGGTTACTGACTCTAGCAAAAGAGGGAAGAGAACAGAATCAAGGAGGAGTCCCAGGTCCTAGCATGTGGGAATAGATTTCATCCTGGAGAAGAGAGCATGAAGGAGATGGTGAGATGACAAATTCTTTTTTTTTTTTAGCTTTAATTGAGTTTATTGGTACATTTTAGGGATACAGTACAGTTACATTCATTGTTGGGATCTTGTACCTCTACATGACAAGTCTTGATTCTCATTTTTTCCCCTTACCTCTGCCCTCCCTTCACCCCTTCCTCCCCTCCCCATCTACAAACACTTTATTTTCATCTTTTGATTCTCTCACATTTTTTTCTTTTCCCTTTTTTTACTCTTCCCCTACCCATCCCACCTTCCCTACACCTTTAGCTCCTTTCATCCCATTTCTAAATGTCAGTAATCTTATTAGAATCTTATGTGTTGTTGCAGATTATTCACACCAGGGGACAAATTCTTTATAACACACCAAGTTTGACTAAGCTGTGGGACTTCAGGTGAATGCTAGGGTTTAAAGCACAGCAATGGAACTCATGGGTATGAGTCCTATAACCTAGAAAGGATTCTGAAAGAAGCTACCGAGACATCAACATTTAAAATAGGCATGCCCAGAAAAAAGAAGGCCAGAAGAGAAAAAATTGGAGAGAGTAGGAGAACCAGGAACGTGCAGGGTCATAGCTGCAGAACAGTTTCAAGAGAATAGATTTAGCTCAGGTGCTGGAAGAAGCCACATTCTAGAGATCTAATACATAATAGGAGGTGAGGAAGAGGGAGTAAAAATGAATGGGAGCCTGGGGCCAGGGATTTAGCTCAGTTGTGCCATTGCCTGCCTTAAAAGCACAAGGTCCTGAGTTCAATCCCCAGCACCAAAAAAAAAAAAAAAAAAAAAAAAAAAAAGGGAGCCTTGAAAGAATCTTTTATAAAAACAGCGCATTAGCTGCCTAATAAGTGGAGAAAGAAGAGCATCAGCAAAGTTAAGTCTCTTTTTGGTTGCTTTTTTTTTTGTTTAAATTAAGATATTCACATAACATAAAATTCACTTTTAAAGTGTACAAGTCAGTGGTATTTGGCAGGTTCACAAAGTTGTATAATAATTATCACTATCTAATTGTAGAACACTTTCATCACTCCTGTATTAATTTTCTATTGCTGTGACAAAATACCTAAGGTAAGCAAGACTTAAATCCATCAAGGAAATATTAAATCTGGTAGCTCCATTTCCAGTACTTGAGGCATATGGTGGCAAGATATGAACTCTAAAGGGTTGGGCAGGCTTGCCTTTGTGGCCCTTCTCTCAAGCTAGTTCTGTTCTCTGCCTGGGGCTTTCCTCCACAGTATTCTATAGTCCTAACAACTCTGATTTCTTGGTGTCTCTATTGCAGTATTGGTTTCACTCTCACAGCTTCACCGATCACCTTGACACCAAGGACTGCTGCCAGTAGCAACAGTAGATGGGCCCCCTTGAGTCATGGCTGCAGCAAGTGAGTACCTGGATGGGCTGGATGTAGGGTCTCCAGCTTTCTAGGAAGCAACTTTCCTAGTAATCCTTTGTGCATAGGGTACCCCAGGGCTCTCAAGTCTTTGAATTTGTGATGGGTGGAGTCTTGCTTTTGCTTTTTGCTGATTCCTGAGATTCCCTGAAAGCACCTTTCCTATTATTCTGGTGCAAAATAATTGGCTTCCTTTTAATGGCACTGATCTCTTTAGCAACTGCACTCTCCTACGTTGCAGCTTCAAGTGTTTTCCTTTTCTTGGAAAACTGCATGGTTTTCAAATCTTTTTTGCTCCACCTTTCTTTCCTGATTCAAACTGTAAATCTAGCTAAAAGCAACCAGCAATTCTCATGCCACAGACTGAATGCTGAGCTGTCTTGCTCTCTGCCAGGTAAACCAGTCCATCATTTTAAAACTAGGACACCCACAAAGTTTCCGGTTGTGGACAAAATATAGACAAGTTCTTTACCAGAACATAACATAAAAGGGCTCTTGTTCAGTTCTCAAGGGTCTTCATTTCCACCTGAAATCTCATCAGCACACCCCTCATTGCCCACAATCCTATCAGCTTTCTGGTCAGCTGAGCTCCCTTGAGAATTGCCCATTAAGGTCCACTGATAGCATTTTATACCTTTTCTAGTCTGCTCCTCCAAACATTTCCATTTCTTCCACGAACCAGTTCTAAGTGCTTCAGAACCACACAGTCAGGCACACACAGCACCACTTCTTGTTACCACTTTTCTATGTTAGCTTTCTAACAAAATACCTGAGATAAGCAATTTAAAAGGAGGAAAGATTTATTTTGGTGAGTTTCAGAGGTTTTAGTCCATGGTCAGTTGGCCCTATCATTTTGGCTCTTTGGGAATGCCTGGTGGTGCAAAGCTGCTTACATCATAGTAGTTTGGAATCAAAAAAGAGGGAAAAGGAGGGGCAGAGTTCCCAGTATTCCCTTGGAGGACACTCCCCCAGTGACCTCACTTCCTTCCATTAGGCCCCACCTCCTAGAAACTGCACTATTCCCAACTGGGGACCAAGCCTTCAACACATGAGTTTTGGAGGACATTTAAGATCCAAACCACAGAGCAGCCCAAATTAAACTCTACCTATTAGTCACTCCTCACTCCCCCTCTTCCAACCACTAGAAACCACTTTATTTCCTGTGTATGTCATTATGGACAATTCATATAAATGGAATTGTATATATAATGTGTTCTTTGTGACTGACTTCTTTCGTTTAGCATGTTTTCAAGATTTCATCCACGTTACAGCATGCATCAGAACTAATTTTTATGAGAAATTGCATGGATAGATGATAATTTGCCTATCCATTCCTCAATCAATGGACTATCCAGTTGTTTCAACTTTTTATCCTGCGTGTATGCTGTTGTGAATATGTTCAAGTTTTTGTGTAGACAAATTCTCCTGAATACATGCCTAAGAGTGGAACTGCTGGGTCTCCCTTTATTTTGCGGGGGAGTCACTTGACCTGGTTTATGGGCTGAGCTAGGGAGCCGGTGGAGGGAGGGACACGGGATGGGGAGGGAGAGGGAGGTGCTGGAAGAGAAGAGCTACTTCTTCCTGTGTCGTTATTCGCTCTAACAGGACCCTGCAGGAGACTGAAACCAAGTTGGCTCGACATTTACTAGACGTTCTGCACACACGTCACCCTCGCTGGCCAAGAAACAGATTCAGTGCGTGAACAACGCCCCTCAGACCCCGCGGAGCTGGGTCGCGGCCGGGAGCCTCCTTTTCTGATGCAGTTCATAGTACTGGCGTCTCTTCTGCTTAGAACCTGGCCCGTTCAGGGTTGGTTTCTTCCCTTAGATTCTTTCACAGGTAAATAATGACGATTTACTGAGAACCTGAACTGATTCTTTGCTCCTCCCGTCATATAGAGCTCCAGGCCGTTGCAGTTAAGAAACCATGCTTGGGTACCAGCGACAAGGGACCAAGAACAGAGCCCTCAGAGCCACAGCGCATGCTCATTTTTCCGGCCCAAGAGGGGGCGGGGAGTGGGCAGGGCCGGCATCGCCCAGGCCAATCGGAAGCGAGCACCCCCGCCCTCCGCGCAGGTGGACCCAGTTTGACCCCGGCGGTGGGCGGAGGAGGCGGGAC